CCGCCCCCAACTCCTATCCACACCCCCGCCCCCTGACCACCACCCCGAACTCCCCTGCCCTCTATCAACCCCCCCCTGCTCCGTGCCCCCTTACCATGCTGCCTGGAGCACTGGTGGCTGGTGGCACTACAGCCGTGCCACCCGGCTGGAGCTGGGCCACGCTGTCGCCATCACCATGCAGCGCAGAGCACCGGGTCAGGCCGGGTTCTGCAGCTGCGCTGCCCCAGGAGCTCAGAGTCCCGCCGCCCAGAGCACTGCGCCAGTGGCGGAGCAAGCGAGCTGAGGCTGCGGGGGAGGGGCTGAGGGATAGCCTCCCGGGCCAGGAGGTTGGGGGCCGGGCAGGACCGTCCCCCAGGCCGGATGTGGCCGGCGGGCTGTAGTTCGCCCACCTCTGCTTTATATGGACCACCAGAGGGGGACTTGCCACACACTTTGCTAGTAGGTTACAGACCTATTAAGACAGCAGCAGCATATTGGACATCAGTAATCCAGGGTTAGGGAGTGTAGTGTAGTGGTTAGAGGTAGGCTAACCAAATTGCATATAGTTGGCACATTCAATATGATTTACAGCGAGATAGTTAATGCTAGTTGGAGGTATAGTCTGCCTAATTACATCATAGTAAAAACTACCTGTGCCTTGTCTCCACTAGGATTTTATAGCAAGATAATTAGCATTAGTTATCTCTCAGTTAAAAATAATAATAATCTCTTTTGGCAGTGAAGACATAGCTAAAAAGACAGTGTGCTGAGTGGGTAAGACTTAGCGCTATTAGAGGTTTATTCAGAAGTGATCTTATGCAGCTTTCCTGTTAACTTATTGCCTCTAGGGTTAGAATGTAAGGTCTTGGTCAGTAATAAGAGCTGTGAAGTTAACAGAAATATAAACAGTCCTGAAAAGTGAGATTTAAACACATGGTCTTTTGCCCCACCAGTGCATGTTCCCCTAGGCTCAGGGAAGTATCTCTCCTACTCTCTCTGTTTGTGGAACACTGCCTGTCTTTGCTATGCTGCAAAACAGGCAGCTTGAGTCAACCAAAGTGTGCGGCATCCCACAAAATGCCGTACTGTATGCTTAAGAGGTCTGCTTTGAAGGCATCCAAATCCTGCCCGGATGATTATTTTCACCAAAGGTTGGTTTGAAATGCTTTTAAGTTTCTTACCGCTAAAATAAAAGTACTAAGCCTTTTTTCAGGAAAAGTATTTTTATTAAATCCCATTGCTTGTTAATGTTAAGACACTAATAGCATTGTAAAAAGGAGTCTCCATATATCAGTCAGTCAAGTAGTCTAAACATCTGCATTGGAAGCTTTCCAGTATTGCCCAGTCAATGGCCACAGACCTTATTTGGAAGGCAATCATCACTTGTGGAAGTAAGATGTAATAATGTTTTCCCGATAGTCTGTTACCCAGAACTCTCGAGAGAGTCCATTTTGGTGGTTTTGTGATGTTCACTGCTGTAAGCAATGAAGTTAAATCTGAATTTAACATGATTATCACACCCAGAGAACACATGACAAAAGACAGAAGATTTTTTTTTTATATAATCTCACAGGGTCACACCTGGGTCACAGTAGTCACACTCCTAGAAGTTTTCTGCTACCCTTAAGAAATTTATTTCCATGTAATGTATAAATTATTGCATCAATCTACTTCATGAACACACTTTGCATTGGAACTTTAGGACACATTTCAGGCTCCCTGGAAAGTACATTCTTAGGATACAGTTGTATTGTTTAGAACACAGAATATAAGAGAAGAGTCTCTGATAAGTCATCCTCCCAATGTAATGTATAATTATAATAAATACATTGGCTGATACTTTGCTCAAATATTTTAAAATATGGAATGCAAACATTTATTATTTTCTTATGATCACAATGAAAATTTTAAAAAAGTACATCACAGTAATCATGTTTATATGTTACTTGCTTTAATATATTGTTTTAAATATTTTACTACTTTATGTATTTAGGAAAACAGTGGAAATGTGCTCATTTTGTTACATTTATTTTTCATAGAACACCTTCCCTATGAACAGAGGCTCACGGTAGCATGGAATTGCCATGTGGCTCATTCCAATGCACTGAAACCATTTCACTCATTAATTCTACTTTCTTATCAACAAAATTTTGCTATTTCCAAATGAATTGTGAATGTATTTTTATAGCACGATAAATATTGCTTAGTTTTGACATAGATTATTTTAAATACAATTAAAGTGTTTTCCCTTTTTTTTTAACCAATGAGAAATCATGTAAACAATGGTTAATCTTAATATATGTATAGAAAGTGGAGGGAGTTTAGTGGTTGAAGAACAAGCATGGCGTCAGAAAAGCTAGGCTCTATTCCTTGCAATCACTCTGAAAGTCTTTAATTTCTGTGCCTCAGTTTCATTATCTGTAAAATGGGGATAACAGTACATATCTACTTAGCAGATGTATCATGACGCTAAACTGATTAATGTTTGAAAAATGCATTAAGAACCTCAGAAGGTGAAACAGCAATACGAAGTGTTATTATTTTCTAAAAATCTGCTATGGCTACATATTTAATGTACGTAATTTGAACAGAAAGCTTTAACATGGGTTATATTATTTAATTAATACTCTGAAACCTATTTAATTAATGTTTGCTGTGTACTCAAAATGTGAAGTGTGTGTGTATATATAAATAAAATAACTTTTCTTTATTAAGTTTCCTATTACATAGATATTGGATGTAATAATTTGTACACATTTCACTAGCTTTAAATAATGAGCCTAGTGATTTGAGTTACATAAAAATGAATGAGATCTAGAATGAATCCATGAAATGTCTACAGGATATTTTTTCCCTAATGCTTCCATTTTGGGAAATTACGGGAAATCTGTCTACTATATAGCCCCCATTATTTTAATAATTAATCTTACCCATGTATTTAAAACTATAAATTTCTCTCTCTTTCTTTCTTCCCAGCTTGAGGAAGAACTAGAGTTAGTTGTGTGTGCAAGAGAGAGTGTCTGAAGACATTAATGAGGGAAAGTCAAAATCCTGAGTTTTGCAAGTGCTGAGGCCTGTAGTCATTCTTATCTCTGGCCTGAATGAATTCCATTGTCTAGGTCCAACTCCTGTGAAAATTTGTCTCCTATGCACACTAGCTTCTTCCTGTCTTCCACTCAGACATATTGACCTAACTTCTTGACACCATAACAATGCACAGAATTGTGATGATCACAACGTGTGTATGAAGGCAGTATGTGCCCCCTGGCTCTGTACAATATTACCCTAAATTCCTCATAAGGCTTCCACAATTATTCACTCTTTTAAATATATGTTTGTGTTTTTTTTTATAAAATGGCCCTGCACCAAAACTTCAGAATCTGCTGTAACCCAACAATCTGAAATACCATCAAACTCACTTCATCCCATATGGAGTAAAGATATAGAGACCTCCCTGTTTCCTACTGACTGGCAACACATATTAGTTCCAATATTTCTCTAGCCTCTCTAGACCTTCTGTCTAGACTTATACAACAGAATCCCTTTTTGAACTTATTGGACACCAGTCTGTGTGGCTGCTGCACCATGAAATGTTCACAAAATTGCTGTTGCTGTAATCAATATCTTGACACTCCATTGCATATGTTATGGTATTGTCTCAAAGTCTCTGATTTCACCACCACCCCAATGAACGTGGTTGCTGCAAGTAACATTAATACTCAATAAAATTATTTTACAGAAATGAAAATTTTCTTCCCCCTGGTCCTGAGGAATTTGTGGATAGGGCTTTGCAGACTTGCAATATTTAAACGAATCTTATAGACAAAACAACAACGAATGTTAAATACTTTTTAAAGACATGGTCAAAAGACGTGTGGCTCCTGGTAAAATCAATCATGGAAATTAAACAGCTAAATAAAATGTTCATTTAAATACAGTGGCATATATGAATATGTATGATTTTTTGTAATATACCTGAGGTCAGATAAAAAATCTAACAAATGAAAATTGTTCCAATTTCTTCTGTTTAAATAACAAGTAGAGAAGTATATGTACCCAGTCCTTAGACAAAACTCTCACTGAAGTCAGTGGACTAATTTCTGCCTTCAATTACACCAGTGCAACCACGCTGACTTTTCCAAGGCTGCGCAGCTATAACCAGCAGCAGGATTTGACCCAAACCAAATTTTTGCATGAGGAAGAACTTCAAGATTTGGACCATATTAAATATTTTTCCCTATTTACTAATTTTATTGTCTCTTTCTTCTTTGCTCCTTGGTTGTTTTCTTTCTTAGCATCTTTTTTTTTTAATCCAGGGTATAATTATTACTAAACAAATAATAATCCTAATAAAACTGGGCATAGATTCTGTGAAAAGGTTCATAATAAATAATAATTATAATGAATTACTTAGGGGCAGAGTATGACTAACCTTCACACAACCGTGTAAGGGAGTGAGACCCTCCCACCCACTCAGCCTCTGAGCATGGGTGCGCAGAACAGGGGTTATATGCCCAATTCTCCCTCCCTCCCATGAGGCCAAGTTTCCACCTCTCCAACATGCTAGCCAGTAAACCACACTGTAAAGTACCCACCCCTGCAAGGAAGAGCAGGGAAGAAACTGAAACACTGAATCTCAGTTCCTTCCCGGGGCTGCTCTTGGGGCAGCATAGCTATGCTTTACTCTTTACTCAATCCAGCCTGAGGTGGCACTTTACATACCCAAAGGGCTGTGCAACCATTAATCCTTACAGCACTCCTCTGATGGAGGGAGGTAAGCATTATTATCCCTATTTCACAGATGGCAGAGAAGTAGAACGAGTTGCCCAAGACCCACATCAAGTCAGGGGTAGAGCTGGAATTAGAACTCAAGCTTCCTGTCTCACATTCTCACTCAGCACTCCAGAGCATTTGCTTGGAACCTCACCAAACTAACCCTGAGGTTCATGAACCTTAACTAGACTTCTCTGGGATTTGGATTGTTAACAAAACCTGAAACCAAACTTGTGATGTGTTGTGAAAATGTCACACAGCTCTGTTTTCCACTTGTTCAGTCCATCCTGAATCATAATGGCATGACACAGCAGGCCAGAAAACTGCCGGTTTTACTGAGGACTGCAGTTTACAAGTGAAAAGTAGAGGAGGTGGAGAGAGGTGGGGAATGGGCTTTTCAACATTTTTGGAAGTTACCACTTCATCTCGGAATCCAGATTACTTGCCAAACTTGTTTACACCCAAACAATCCCTTTGTCTTTAGTGGTGTATCTGAGAATCTGGCCCTGATTCTGTTAACAGGTTCTTCAGGCAGAGTTAGAATTACTTATAAAAACGCCATTTTCCACAATTTGTACATAAAAATGAAGAGCAGCTAATGTAACGTAAACTAAATTAAAGCAATTTGAAGTCGTTCGTGAAACATGTTAATTTAAAATAATACAGGATAAAGGAATTGAAGAAGAGTGGCTTTTCTGTCACATCTATGTTCCAGCACTGTTGGAAGCCATCTATAAATCAGCAATAAAAGTGCGGGTGTCTTGAACAGCTAACCATTTGCTGCCTGTGATGAGGTGCTCTACTAAACCGCTTATGTTAACTTGGGTGTAAATGTAATCAGTGAAATTAGTGGAGATTCTGCAAACCCTTACACTCATGAGTAGTCCTCACTCGCTCATTGAGGGCTGGTCTGCACTTAAAATTCAGGTTGCTACAATGCTCAATGGGGTGAAAAATCCACCCCTCCTCCCCCCGAGTGCCATAGCTATGCCAACCTAACCCCTAGTGTATACGCAGCTAGGGCAAGAGATGAATGACGAATGCTTCCATCAGCCTAGCCACTGTCACTCAGGAGATGGTATTCTACAGCAGTGCAAAAACCCCTCCTGTCACTGTAGGCTGTTGACTTAAATGGGAGCAGAATCATGTCCTTTCTAAGGCCAGATCATGACCTTTGCTATGGTCCTGCACAGGGGCACAAAAGGACATAAGGAACCTCCCCTACTTCCCTGCACAGACTACCAGTATTGTAGGGCTGGGGGAGAGAAGCTTCCATCAAATTGCTACTCCCCCGTCCTGCAGGAGTTGAGCTCCCAAAGAGGGGTAAAAAGTAAACTACACCAGGAAAAGGGCTGCCACAGTCTCTTCTCCCATAGGGTGAATCAGGGACTGAACCGTGTGACTCCTATAAGCCCACCTTAGCCCTTAGTAAGTCAATGGAATCTTTTGCATGAATAAATGTTTTCAGTTTCAGGTCTTATGACTGAACCTATGCAGGACAAAAATGTACACTATATATTAGCACCATATAGCAAAATAATCTATTACTGGAAAAAAGTCAAGCAAACCTGTGAAGATGCCTAAATCTTAAGATCCTTTGACAATGATGAGTCTGTCATGAAACACGTTGTTCTGGCCATTCATTTTGAGGTGGATTCATTATGCATGACAAATGCTGCGCATGATTAGTATGTCCCATTCCAGGTTCCCTGCTCAAGTTGTTTGGTCTTCATCCTATTATGAGCACAGTAGTTATGAGAAGATATTTGCTATCCATCCATTATATATCCAAAAGGGTCTTTGGAAATGCTGCCCCACAATGTGACCCAGTAAGTTAGAAAGTTTTATTTGTATATGCTTTTGTTGGTAATCTCACTCTTTTGTGTTCTTTTCTTTCAATTATTCCCCCCCCCCCAACTCTTTTCAGACAGATCTATAGCATTTCAGCTAACTTGAACATTTTGCTGTGTAAAAAAGAAAAAAAATCTGAAAAGCACCACATATAAGACTATTAGCTTGGTAAATCTTAGAAATTGCCTGATTTGATTTCTGAGCCATTATTATTTATTTAATATTGATATTTGTGTTTCAGTAATGCTGCAAGTGTCCAATCAAGATCTGAGGCCCCATCATACTAAGAGCTGGACGAACATCTACAATTGTTGTTTTCAGTTTTGTTGTAATTTTGGTCCCAGAGAATATTAGAGAGTCAAGTTGGGTGAGGTAACATCTTTTATGCAACCAACTTCTGAGTCTTTTTCACCAACAGAAATTGGTCCAATAAAAGATACTACCTCCCTTACCTTGTCTTTCGTACATTTGCAAAGACATCATGCAATTATAAATAATGTTATGATGCTAGAAATCTTCTGTTGTAATCATATTTATTGTTAAATTTTTAGCAAATTTTTTCTTTAAAAAAAGTTTGTAAGTTCACAAATTGGAGATCCTTCAAACACAGAGGTCACAATTTCCAGGTCTCTTTGATCTTTATTAACCACATTTCCTATTCCTTTAAACTGTTTTTTGTTTTTTTCTGTAATGGACAGGGACATTGAAAGTTGTCCCAATCCTTACAACTGTGCTGAAAATTTCTTTTGTCCAGCAAACCAGCTAACTTTTTGATTAGATAAAGAACTATCTAAAAGAAAACCACTCTGGTGGATAAGATGGCAATCAAATGTGGAAATCTTCTCTGTATAAGGCACCCTGGGGTTTGTTAAATATCTGCAGATCTGCATGTTGTAAGTGACAATGTTTATTCTTGCAAGTAAATTCCAAGATAGCTTCGATTCCTTGGGGTTTAATCTCAGCCTTTTTTGTTTCTCTGATTAGTTGAAAACTGTAACAGGTCACCCAGACTCTTTGAAGAATGAAGGGTCTCATTCCAGGGTGAGGCCCAATGAATTTGTGAATGAATGAAAAGTTAATTGAGGAAAAGATTAGAGCATATTTCAGTCATAGTTGATTTAAGCAAAGCTGATAAGCAAGTAACTAGAAACATTAGCATGTTATTAAAGTAGATTTCCTTCTCTATCAATATCTTAATTTTTGTATTTATGGTAATTTTAAAGGTTGATGTTTGTCATAAACACTTTATCTAATCTTCTAGCAAATAGAGCTCTAATAGTGTCAAGTAATTACCAATAGATTTAGCTGTGTTGGATAATACATTCAGAATCATAAGAGAAGCTGTCCAGTAAACGTCTTGTGCTTTTTACTTTACCCAATTTAGAGAATGAAGTATTTATTTATGTATTTATTTCACTATTGAGCATCAGAGGGAAATAATCAGAGGGTTGTATAAGGCCATCAGTTTTTAAGAACTTCAAGTTAATTAAGTCTGAGTTTTGCTTTGAATTCTGTTTTCATTCCAACTGGAAATGCATTTTGCAGATATGTCAGGTTTGTGCTAGAATACAAAAATGAATATCAGTTTAGCGAACATCTGGGAACTTACTCAATTTAAAATGTTTCAAATTAAATTACAAAAATTAAATGAAAAGTGCAATTTACAAGTAAATGAAGATGTAAGAAACCAAGTGTTGTTTCTGGTTTTGTGGAAGTTGAAGAGAAAGTGTTGTTTTGCTGGAGTGTTGCTTAGAGTAAAAGCCCCTAAAGCAACAGTTTTTTGTGCGTGATGGGGAGCCATAGCAAACAACTAGAGAGATGGAATTGAACATTTCTCCTCCTTTTAAATAATGCTTTGTACGTATAGAGCACTTTCCATGCACAGATTTCCAAGTGCTTTACAAACATGAATGAATGTAGCCTTGTAACACCCTCTGAGGTAGGCATAATCACTATTTTGTAGATGAGAAAACTGGGATCCAGAGAGGTTGTGATTTGCTAAAGGTTACACAGGAAGTCTGTGGCAGAATCAAGCTCTCTTAAAGGCAGGCAGTGTAGCCTATTGAACAGGACCCCAGATTAGGACTCGGGACCCCTGGGTTCAATTGTTGGCTCTGCCGTGGCTTTGCTGGGTGGCCTTGGGCAAGTCACTTCCCTGCCTTGTGCCTCGGTTTCCACAACTGTATAATTGAGGTAATGCTACTGATCCTCCTTTGTAAAGTGCTTTGAGATCTAAGGAGAAAAAGTGCTATGTAAAAGCGTGGTAGCTATTATTATTAAAACTCTGTCATGTGCTTTAGTCATGTGCTCTACCTAACATAGCTACTCAAACACAGTTCCATAACTTGGGTTTTTCGTTTTAAGTTATAACTCATAAAATCTAATAAGACTCCATTAAAGCAAAGAAATAAGAAAATGCATTTTTAAAAATATACACTCCAAATATCTGAAATATACCATTTTTGAAGTGGTAGAAATTGTTTATGGTGGGGCCCTAAAGATTAGCTGGCATGTTGGACTCTTCTCCCCAGAAAATCTAGGGGGAAAAAATTTTAAAGCACTGATTGCAAACAATTTTTATACTCATTCAAAAACAAACCATAATTTGTCTAAAAATTAGCACTAAAATAATACTTAAGAAACCTACAGATAAGAATCCTAATACATAACTACATACAAAGGTGAAAAATACAGGCCCACAGCCTTATTTACACATAACAGTCACAACAGTTTAATGAAAATAACTTAATAAAGCTACATTGATATAAGACTATGGTAAACTGAATTAAGTATGTCCACACGGATTTGCAGCAGTGTAGCTTAATCAATTCAAAACCCAATTTTCATTAAATCAGTTCAACTCTGTGTGTAAGCAGTGCCTGAGCAGCAAGTTGACTTGCCGGGATGAAAATGTCAGTGGCATGGAGGATATAGAAGCTAATGATCTCAGTCTTCCTCAGCTGTGCTACTGCAGCCACATTGTTTTGCTAAAATAGTAATTGTAATATGCATATATAATTATCATCCAAATAAGTAGCAATTGAAAAATTAGCAGCTAATGTTTTAGGTGCAAATAGGTTTCTTCGTCCATGCCTGGCCTAAGAAAATAGGGCATGTTTTAAAATGTATTAGCTGGTCATGGTCAGTCGTAGGCATGAAGATCGGGTTGATCATGACTACCTAACATGTTTTCAGCCATTTATTGCCCTCTCTACAAGGTACAAAGATTTATTTAAAACAGTGTTAGCTTGCAGTTTTAAAACATGACCTATTTTTGTACACTACACATTTACGTCTGTATAACTACATCAATCAGGGGTGTGAAAAATTCATACCCCTCAGTGATGTAGTTATACCAAACTTAACCCCTGTGCAGACAATGCTGTGTCGGCAGGAGACCTTCTCCCGTGCCCGCCAAAATAGCTCCCGCCTCTCGCAAAGGTGGCGTTATTAAGCCAACGGAAGAGCTCTCTCCCATCAGCTTGAAGCGTCTTCACCAAAAGCACTATAGCAGTGCAACTGCGCCGCAAGTTTGTAGTGTAGACCTGCCCTGAGGCCCCAGTCCCCCAAAGACTTTAGCTTGCTGCGCGTGGTGGGTTGAAGAACAAGAAAAAGCATAAAAATAGCAAAAGCTAGGACAACATACAGCTTTTATTTAAAGTATTAGGTTTAATGTAACCTCTCTCAGTGTCTTCTGAACACAAAAGCGGCACTGCCTCAGTCTCTGCAGTTAGGGCCTGATCCAAAGCTTATGGAAGTCAATGGAACAAAACTTCCACTAGCTTTGGATCAGGCCCTTATTCTCTGTAATAACAGCACCCCCCTTGCTGCTCCTTTTTGCCCTTTTATTTGTCTCAATGGCACAAATCTAAGGGGAACTCAGCCCTGCCAATCCTGTGAATGAAATAAAAAAACAAGAAGGAAAGAGGCTGCAATTATATCTGCCCCTGCCTTTTGTCCTTTCCTTTAACAGAGGTAATTGTAGGAGGCTTTGTTATTACACCCTCTTTCTTTTCTCTTATTCCTCCTCTACTTTTATAGGGTTAATTCCTTTTTAACAGCTCCTCTTGTTGAATTTTTTTTGCTACTTATCCATAAAAAAGGGGGAAATTATGCATTTATTATAACTTAAAACCATTGAAATTAAATAAGTTAAAAGAGCTCTTTTTGCTGAATTGGTAAGACTCTTTTTCTGATTTCCCCCCCCCACAATTTAAATTCTCTACTACATCTTTCCCTTTGCAAGTTACCACTGAGGCAATGAGTGCTGTTTATCCTAGGCCCGATCCTGCATTCCTTGCACTCCCAAAGAAGTTGATGGGAGCCTAGGGTACTCAGAAAAAAGCACAATCAGACCTCATGTGTGCAAGATTCAAACAGACCAAGTGAGGCAGCAAGCTAAATTTAAACTTTGACCTTTTCCCGCTTTCTGCTGTGATACACAACAGGCAGTTTCCAAACCAAAGCTGGTGAAAACAGCTTTTTTGCTGGGGTTTTTTTTCCACTGTGAAATTGTACCAGATGAAAAGTGAATCTTTTTGATCTTTTGTAAAAACAGCAAATAGTCAATGTTACCCATTTCTCTTTAGGTGTGAAAAATCTTTATAGGGCTGTATTAAAAACTATAAAAAAGCCAGTGGGTGAATCCACCCTCCCCACTAAAAAAAAACCAAACAAAAAAACGAACAAAGTCTTACATTAAATCTTCTCTGAAGGTGAAGAACATACATGGGGTTTTCATTTTTTTTTATTATATAAAAATGTGATTCCCCATAGAGAACACATTTTTCTCTAATGATAACCTTACCACCTTTGAATTACAGCTATAGGACTTGCAGTTGAAATATGTCATTAACAAAAATCAGATTTTACCTATATGCATTATGAGTTAAGAGTCATTGTTTTAATTTGCAAGCAGTTTGAAAGTCAATAGGATATGATTTTAAATCTCATAATAAATTGAGGAAAACAACTACCATTCAGACTTGATGTTATTTAGACTGCAGCTGGAAGTGACTTATTTTAACTTCTCTTAAATGTAAAGATGTTATCAGTACTTCCACTAATAAACAATTAAAAGATACATTTAAATGAAGAAGACAATTAGTTCACAGGCACCGTTTATTTACTTGGCAATACTGATTACTTAAACGTCAGCCCTGTCCAAAGAAAATATATAGAGACATAAATTACTACTAATAAACAGTATCAAAATATCACTTTTGGTCACAATTTGTCTGTGTTCCTATAATAAAACTGTCAGCTGAATGATAGTTATTTTTTCTGTTTGTTATGAGAATTAATTTCCTTCTCCTTTCAGTAAGTTCATTTAATTGAGACAGTTTATACTTTTGTTTGTGCATTTTATTTTTGAATTTTAGAAATAATAAAGTCATGGTTATTGTTATATATATATATATATTTTTAAAAACCCAAACCTTGTAGTAAATTTCCGATTGACAGCTTGCCCCCTCACTAGCTCTTCAGGGTGACCTTTTATAACAAGTCAGTGCTTTCTTAATCTGACAGGTGATTTCTAAAACTAGCAATCATTTTCAAATATAAACAATACTTTGTTTTGGTGGGTTTCTTTTCTTCTTCTTTCTTTTAAATCAAATCTAGTCCAAACGGTACGTTGAATGGAATGTGCTTTAATAAAGGCAGGCAATGTTTCAAGGCAAATAAATAATGTTTGTAGAAAGTCTAATAATTTGCAAAATACTTTCTTTCTTGTTTAGGAGGCTGGATTGGTGAGAGAAGGTTCCCATGATAAGGCTGGGGAATTTGGACCATTTTGTGGCTAGCTAATTAGTCCCTACAGATTTAGCACTAACGCTTCCCTCCTCCCCCAAACAACCGACAAGATTAGTTTTGTAGGCTACTGTGTCTCTCTTCTCCCCCGCGGCCTCTCTTCTTCATTCTGCCTCCTTGATGCGGGTGGGCACCGGCTGGCTGGCTGGCTTGCCTCCCTCCTGCGAGCAGATCTCATGACATGCCCCGATTTCCTCCGGCTCCCCGACAGGAAATCAAGAGCTTTAAAGCGGCTGAGCGTGGGGCCACCCCTGTGTATCTGTAAATAGCTCCGCCAGCGGCCAGCAAGCCCGTTAGCCCTTTCAGAAGGGGAGAGAGCAGTGCCTCGGACTGGGGCACCGCGAGCAATCAGAGGTTGTTGGGTTGCTTTTGGGGTGGGGCGAGGAGGGAATTTCTGCTCAGCGCACGTGGGAAGGTGATGGTAGGTGACAGACAATCTCAACTCCTGTAGATCTCTCTAACCCCCCGGCCCCCAGCATAATTCCCCGGCAGGGCTTTCCCAAGTCTCCCATGCAGACTCAGGGAGCAGGTTGAATTGCTGAAATGTTTGAGCTCAGAGGCAGGCAGAATATTCATCGAAAGCTTCCCTGCTGGGCTCTACAATACGAAGCTGCTCTCAGAAAGTTATGCCGGGTGGCTAGGTTAACTGCCTTTCTAGTACAAACTGTCTCTTTGTGAACACGGTTGATCTGCTCTCGATTGCATGGCTGGCTAGGAATTTTTGACTGCAAACAGTGTGACGCTGTCAGGGGGAAAAATGACAATCATAATTGCTATGCTGGACAGCAGGGGAATTCTGGACACCAGGGGAATACTAATACACACCCGCCCCAACAAGTTATGTATCTGTATATGGTACTATAGGTCAGATTTCCATTATAAAGCTCTGTTTTCAGGGGGGTTATAATTCAACCGTAAAAATTCACTTCTAGATGGAACTTGGCATATAATATCTCTGGGGTGGGGTGGGGGGAGATTCACAGAAAAAAATGAATAATAAAAATATATTTGATATTTAACTTATAAAAGTGGAAACCAAAATAGAGATTAGTGATGTAAATAACATGCTAGTTTTGTGCTCCTAAATTCCCAATGTGAAATCCTGAAAATCATTAGTTTGTCATAGTATTCTGGACTTGTTATGTGAGAATCTCAAACTATAGAACATCAGGGACCTCAGAAGGTCATCTAGTCCAACCCCCTGCAACTGAGCTATCACTCCCCCCAAACAAAGAGCTATGTTACAAATGTTAGTCATCCCCATGTTGCTGAAAGATACAGAGTGATTACTCCTGTTTTACAGATGAGTCACAGGGAAAGTAAGTGATTTATCAGCACTTAATCCAGAAATCCATTAAATAAAACCCAGGGATCTCTGACCAATAAGAACATAGGTATTTCAGCACTGGAACAAGTTCATCTGAGTTGCTCCTGTGACAGACAGTGGCCAAAGCAAAGTGCTTCAGAGCAAGACAAAAAGCCTTTATAATGCCCCTACTTTGTGTTAGTACTGAGGTGATAGAGAAGAAAGCTGTTATAGGATTGGGAGGAATTCTTTCCAAGTCTTAGAGTTGCAAATACTATTCCAGTTCACACAGATGCACTATTGCCAATGCAGAGTGTACAAAAATATCTGTGAGGTCCCTCAAAATGATGAGATTTTTAAATAATAAAAGTTAGGGTTTATTTACCTTCTGTTTTTTTTAAACCTTCATAGTGCATGCAGGTCACATTTCTTATCAATTCATATCAATTCTACACCTCTGTCTCACAGCTGCCCTATGTCCTGCTCTGCCCCACCTCTGCCTCTTCTGCAGATGTGGAGGCTCTCCTCACTCCCCTATACCGGGGCCAGTTTTGCAGGATTAAAGGGAAGTGAGAAGCTTACCCTGTTGTTCATGGGAAGGAAGAGAGAAGCCTGCCTCCTCTGCCTTGCCCTCCTGTGAGAATGGAATGGCTTTATGCTCCCTCTCACCCCTCCCCAAGCACTTCTGGCAGCTGTAGGGGAGGAGAGGCTTTGTGTGCCTCTTTCAGCACTGCTGATTGGAGGTTCTTCCTCAGGCGGCAGGGAAGAGGGGAAGGCAGCCAATCAGAGTTACTGGGCTAGGTGAGAGATGGCCTGAAGGCTGGAGCTACTCCCCTACTGGGGAGACAGGTTCCAATAGGGGCTAAAATCCCCTTTGTTTGCAAGTTGGCAACCCTGTTTGTGTGGCTTGTGGCATTTGCCCTTTTATGTTTCTTCATGATATGTAAAGAAACTGCAAAGACATTTTTAAACATTAGACATTCAGGGGCTGTCTAGCCTGGAAATCGCTATGAGGACTGGAGAACAAGGGAAACGATGGCTTTACAAGAGAGCGAAAGTTGGGCAACTGAGAGCTGCAAGCTTGAAGGGCTTTCCCCAGAGACCACAGGGTTTCAGATCCTCCTAAGGGATCGGTGAGGATAAACTGTCCCCCTTTGAGGAAATCTCTGATTTGCTGTTCTTCTCTTGCCTGCCTCCTGGGAAAAGGCAGCCAATCAGAGCTGCTTCATAAGTTGGGGGGCTTCTTCCTTCATCAGTACATGGAGCAAGCTAAGCTCATTTTCCACCTTCTCTTCTCTTAAATGGCCAGGTGCTCAGCTGTCTTGCAGCTCCTGTTCACTGGCTCCCAATGCTGCCCACCTCCCAGGAGGAGAATAGGAGGAAATAGAACAGCTGGGAGCAAATGATAAGGAGAGTCACAGAAATGTAAGCAGCAGCAGCAGAACCTGAAGTAAGTTTCGTGGGTACATAAGTAGTTTTGGGGTTTGCATGGAGGGATTAGATTAATTAATTGGTCTTGTATAGGGGCAACAGATGAATTAATTGGGATAGTGCATGTGTAGAAATGGCAGATTAATTCAGAAGAATTAATTCAGGGAATACAGAGGGGGCTGCATGCTTTTGGGTGGGTTTGATGGAGTGCCTACGCCACACTGGACTCTACGGGGTTAATAGAGCCCTTGCGAAACTGCACAGGAGGCAGCCAATCAGAGAGGAGCTGTGAGAAGCAGCCAATGAGGGTCCAGCTGGCCCATATAAGAAGGGCTGGAGAGCAGTACACTTTCAGTCACTCCCTGGAGCTTGAGGAGGATTGGCTACCTTGCAGGCTGAAGGTAGTTAGCACTCTAGACAGAGCAGTACTGCAAGCAGCTCTTGGTGGGTTGGGTAGGGATCTGCAGGCTGAGGCCCCAAGGCAAGGGCAAAGGGGGTGCTGGGGCTTCAGGGAAGTAGCCCAGGGAAACCTACTGATGAGTTGGAGGGGGGTGCTGCAAGCAGTGGCCTTCTATAGGGTCCCTGGACTGCAACTGGGTCTCCCCCACTTGCCATGGGGAAATGGCTAAACATTTGACTGCAGTTGCCACTGAGAAAAGTGGCTGGACAGGGACTATAGAGATGTTCCCCTGGAAGGGGAGAGCACCAAGTGTGGTATGGTTGGAGGGCAGTGTCACTGAAGAGGACATCATGGTCCTTGGAGGGATGTGGGTCCAGGTGATGGGTGGAGCACCACCAGATCAAGGTGCACTGGCTACCAGAGCTAATTCCTGTACTGGCCACAAGGAGGTGCTGGAGTGGTGAGTCACACCCTGTCATAGGGGGCAGAAAATTTATTGTGGGAATGTTTCTGTTTGGGGGACAGAGAAGATACTTGGGAGGTAGTACTGGGAATTGCTTGTTGGTGCCTGGTTTACAGCTCCTCTCCCTTGGCATGAGTGGATTTTGTGCTGATGCAGGTTCTTTGTTTGAGATCCAAGGAGCCACTTGATCAGCAAGGAGGGGCTGATGCTCGACAAGACTGGGGCTCTGCAAAGGTTTGGAGCCATAATTAATGTATGGACTGGGGGATGGGCAGATGTGGGGCAGGGCTGGCCCAACATTACCCCATCCTCTGAAGCATCTGGTTCTGGTGACTGTTGAAGGCAGGATACTGACCTGGGTTGATGTCTGGCTTTTCTTGGGTTTCACTGTAATGAAGTACAATTTGTCCATTATTGTTTGTAAAGTGCTTTGAAGATGTGACGTGCTATACAGTAAATGATAAATATTAATTTCAATAAACAAAATTCTGATCAGTTACTCCAGATTTATACTGGAGTAGCTCAGATAACTATTAGTCCTACTGACCACCACACTCTGTTTCTTGTATTATGGGCAGAGGTGGATAGAAGTTCCTTACTTGCCTTTTCTACACTACTTATAATTACCTTAGTCCCATCTCCCTCAAACTGGCCAAAAATCTGTTTTTAAAGGACTGATACAAGTTAATTAACTGGCCAAGAAATTGTTTCAATAATTTTAAGTTTGTCACAAGCCAATTAAAAGAAATTCAAAGTGAAGGCTGAAATTCCAATGTTAACTTCCCTCATTTTCTTGAAGTATTAAACATCCATTCTGTATGGTAACCACACATTCTATGCAAGAGTCAACATTAGTTAGGCTTAATGAAGTAATTACAATGTATATTAAGCATGGCTATTTATTAAGAGATGTACATTAATGATGGCTAATGAGACTGGAGTGGCAGCAAGTTCAAGATAGCTTCATCTTGAGCCTCTGTATTCAATGTCTTTAATTTTGTTGGCTTGTTTTATAGGGTTAATTAGCTTTTTCTTTAATCATAACTGTATAGGTGACAATACATTACCACTGTATAAGGTGAAAGCCTGTGCAAGTATCTTGGTGTAATTTGTAAAGTATGTTTTGTTTTTGATTTAAAACGCCCCCCCCCCCAATGGCTGCAAACATAAAAATTGGATGGTAATAGACCTCAAATACCAGTGGTGATGGAACCTGGTCATATTCTAAACCAAAAGAGGTCTCTCCCATGCTTGTAGCTGTTTCCATCACTTTGCACCAACTCAGCAGACATTCTAGGCTTCAATGATACACAAGGTGGCAATCTTGGAATCTTAGCCCTCGTCTATACTAGGGGGTTAGGTTGAATTTAGCTGTGTTAAGTCGATTTTAAAATGAATGCGTCCACACAACCAACCCCGTTCCGTTGACTTAAAGAGCTCTTAAAATCGACTTCTGTACTCCTCCCTGGCGAGGGAAGTAGCGCTAAAATCTACCTTGCAAGGTTGAATTTGGGGTAGTGCGGATGCAAATCAAGGATATTGGCCTCCAGGAGCTATCCGAGAGTGCTCCATTGTGACTGCTCTGGACAGCACTTTGAACCATAGGTGCCGACTCCGTGGGTGCTACAGGACAGGAGCACCCATAGAAAAAAATTGGTGGGTGCTGAGCACCCCCCAGCAGCTCCCCGTGTGGCCCCGCCCCCCTGCTCCAACTTGCCTCCGCCGCGAGCGCGCCGCCACATCCTGCTTCTCCTCCCTCCCAGCCCTTGCGCCGCGACACAGTTGATTTGTGAGGCGGGGAGGAGGGGGAATGCCATGTGTTGGGGGAAGAGGCGGGACCGGGGTGGGGATTTGGGGAAAGGATCCAATAGGGGCAGGGAGGGGGCGGAGTTAGGGCGGGGACTTTGGGGATGGGGTGGAGTTGGGGGGCGGGGAAAGGGGCGGGGGGGGGGGGGCGCCGGCACCCACTGGTGCTGGAGAAAGTTGGCGCCGCTGCTTTGAACTCCGATGCACTAGCCAGGTACACAGGAAAAGCCCCAGGAACTTTTGAATTTCATTTCCTGTTTGGTCAGAGTGGTGAACTCAGCAGCACAGGTGACCATGCAGTCCTCCCCTGAATTGTAGAGTGTAGAATGTTTCTACACTCCCCCTATCATCTCCGTCCCTGAGGTTATCGCAGATTAGAAGGCAAAAAACCGCACTCACGATGACATGTTTTCCGAGCTCATGCAGTCCTCCTGCACTGATAGGGCACAGCTTAATGCATGGAGGCATTCAGTGGCAGAGGCCAGGAAAGAATTAAGTGAGCGTGAAGAGCAGAGGCAGGACGTGATGCTGAGGCTAATGGGGGAGCAAATGGACATGATGAAGCGTCTGTTGGAGCTGCAGGAAAGCCAACAAGAGCACAGACCCCCACTGCATAACCGTCTCCCCTCTTCCCCATGTTCCACAGCCTCCTCACCTAAATGCCCAAGAATGCGGGGGGGGAGGAAGCTCTGGGCATCCAGCCACTCCACTCCAGAGGATGGCCCAAGCAACAGAAGGCTGTCAAACAATTTGCTTATTGTAGCCGCACTAAAAATCAATGTGGGCTTGTCCTTCCCTCCTCCCCTACCCCACCTAGGCTACCTTGTCCGTTATCTATTTTTTTTAAGTTAATAAAGAGAGAATGCATGGTTTCAAAACAACAGTTACTTTATTTTGAAGGGGGGAGTGTGGATGGCTTACAGGAAATTAAAATCAACAAAGGGGGCGGGTTTGCATCAAGGAGAAACACACACAACTGTCACACCAAAGCCTGGCCAGTCATGAAACTGGTTTTCAAAGCCTCTCTGATGCGCAGAGTGCCTTGCTGTGCTCTTCTAATCGCCCTGGTGTCTGGCTGCTCAAAATCGGACACAGGCGATTTGCTTCAACCTCCCACCCCATTATAAACGTCTTTCCCCCCCCCCTTACTCTCACAGATATTATGGAGCACACAGCAAGCAGCAATAACAATGGGAATGGTGGTTGCACTGAGGTCTGACCTAGTCAGCAAACAGCGCCAGCAAGCTTTTAAACATCCAAAGGCACATTCTACCACCGTTCTGCACTTGCTCAGCCTATAGTTGAACTGCTCCTTACTACTGTCTAGGCTTCATGAGCCATGGGAGCAAGGGGTAGGCTGGGGTAGGTGCGACTGTGCGGTGCTGCCATTGGGAGAACAGCCGGAGGCAGAAGCCTCCAGCTCGCATGATATTCCAGGCAGGACTGAATCTCCATGAGACAAAACTTAAAGAAGAGAATGACCTGGAGTCTCTGGCTCCATTCGGTGCTCTAAGAGGAGGATAGCCATGTCTGTCCAGGTGCCCCTGATTGACCTCACCGCGGTCTGCCAGGAGCACCCAGGAGACATACAACAGCTATCAGT